GGCAGGGAATAGGGAGGTGCCAGGCAGTGCACGGCTCCAGTCCTCACTTCTCATAGAACCCACAGATCTGTTTCTAGTCTCCTCTCAGAAGCTCTTTTCTTCTCCCAGTAGCCCTCTAAAACACCCAGAATAATCCATTCAACAACATCTTTTCAGTGTCTGTCAGTTTTATAAAAAAAGAAAAAAACAATGACTTCTGGTTGTTTCAGTTTTCAGCTCCACAAGAATCCCGAGGCAAAAAATTTTGAAGCTTCACAACTTGCTCAGCATGAGGGAGAAAAATTGTGTGAACAAACTCCATTGAATATTTCTAAAATAGCCTCCCCAGAACATATAAATATTTGGGTGTATAGATGTAAATTGTCTAGAGGGATCCTGATGAAGCAGTTGATGGTGATTGTCTCTGGGGAGTGTCACTGGGGGTCTTGTGTGAGAGGCAGTCTCTTTCTGTGTTTACTATGCCCTGTGATATTGCTTGTGTCCTTTACATTGATACATGTTATTTTTATGATGATAGAAAATTTATGGTTAATTTGAAGAGATGCAAATTATTTTTTAAATTCATTAACCATGAAATCCTTTCTTCAACCAGAGCTAACTTCCTTAGATATTGTCCTGATTTTATGGCTCAGAATTGCTGAGTTAAGGAGTTAATCTGCCCAAAATTCCACAATGACAGAGTCAGTATTCGAACCTACAGCCATCTTACACTTAGGAGCATGATTGCTCTTTCTCCTACTCCATGCTCTGTTCAGGGCCAGTTCATTCCACTAAGTTATTTTCTTTAATTGCCCAAGTAATGAGGCCTAACAAACCCACTTCAGCAGGCCACACATCTATGCCAAATCCTTGAATACCAATAAATACCTGAAACCGTGTTTCAAAATATACTATAAAGTATAAATAAGAATGACCTATAGTTCACCTCAAGTTCTTACACAGCAGCAATGTACAGGGTTTACAATAAATCACATGGGGGAAGTTTAACTTGAAATATTAGGCAAAGCCAGGCCTAAAGGAATGAAATCATAAACTTAGGAAAAATTAATTATACCTCTCAATGTCATAACTGTGTATTTTGTTTATCTTTGGGTCAAATAAAGATTATTAGCAAATAGCAAATTATGGGTTGCTGCCTATGGTTTGGTGATTTGTTTAAGGAAGCACTTGTGGTTATTGAAAATTAATAAGAATTTGTTTTTTATAGGATGCTATAGTGATACATGAAGTCTATGAGGAAGGAGCCGCAGCCAGAGATGGAAGACTTTGGGCTGGGGACCAGATATTAGAGGTATATGATTATGACTTTTATTTTGTACCAGTACATATGGTTTCTTTACCAACCTTAATCCACAAAATCAATTTATCTATTTGTTATCTTCTACTCCACTATATCCTCACTTATTTCTCTCCCATTTAAGAAAGCATGTATCTTATTTTTTTTCCTGTGTTTAATGTACACTGAATAAGTGTCATTAGAATCATGACAGATTATCAATCTAAATCTGTCTGTGAAAACATTTTTTAATTCAAGGGTAAAGTACAATGTATGGTTTTATAATCTTAACATCAAATGAGACTGTGTAGTATTACAATTAGATTTTTTTTGTCTCTCCATTATATCTTCCTGAATTCCCTCCTAAAAGCAAATGCACATAAACATGCACACCTGACATTTTAAAGACTTTACTGTAGCTTTAGGTATTATTTTCTTATTCCCAATAAATCTTAAAGCCAAATGGAGGTCTGTGCCTTGCCACTTTTGTTTTCTAGTTGATGAAAATATAGAATCCTTTCGCTTTAGGTGGTATATGGTACTTATTAAAAACTGAAATGCTTAACTTGCCTCTTTCAAATGGACTCTCATTTAGCAAAGGCGTTAAAGCCTTTTAAAAAGTGCCAAGGCAGGCAGTGTCTGCAAAGGGGAACGGATGAATGGAAAGTCAATGCCAGGCGTTCTGGTAGGTGGAACTAAAGAGCTTTTTCAATGGTGTGAAACCTTTAGGCAACATTTATTTCTTTCATTGGATGAATTTAATTGAATAGTTAACATTTTATGGTGGGCATGTGCATTTTTGCTTTGCAACTTTAATATAGCACATTATGAATGACATCATAGTATTTTATTTTTCCCTTTGGTGGTTCTAGTCTGCCTCCCAAGATGAAACCAGAGATATAATTAAGGGCAGAAAATATAGGCAAGAAGGAGTTAAAAGAAAGGCCAGGCTGACTACAAATTAAATTCAGGGCAAGTTATAGGTTTTCTCTGCACGCCTTTACCGAGCTTTATCATTGGATTAGGACGTATTCCCAGTACATTCATTTAAGGTACAAGAGTATGAGGTTAGAAAAATAAGTGAGGCCTCTTTGGGAATTGGTTTGACTGCGTTAGCATCCAACACCATTTTGTAATGGTCAGGAGTTTGGGGGTGTTTTTTTCTCCCTAGATTTTCTAATTAACAGGCCATATCATAATTGGTTTTATAAGTTGAATAGATTGAATATTCAAAAGAGTACAGATGCATACATTCCTTGATACTTACATGATTGTAATCCCACAAATTATTCTATAATGGTTACTTAAAACTAAATGTGTGCATTATCTTGATTGTGACATTGGTTACACAGGTATAAATTCACACTTTAAGTTGTACACTTTAAATATGTATAGTTTATTTTATAACAGTTATACCTCAGTAAAAAAATTTATATCTATTTGTATTGAATAGGCCCTCAGCTGTAGCTGCTCTCTTCTGTAAAGTATATTCACGTACAAATGAACACTCAGGACAGGTTAGCATGGAGAAAGCAAATTTATTATAAATGGAGGGAGAATTTGAAATGTCAAATAAATAATTTCCTGGCATCTAGCCAAGTTATTGTACCCAGTATGGATGGGTGGTCTATATTTCTCATTATAGACGGCCAGGACAGATTCCTCTCTGACCTGGCCAGGACCTAATCCACAAAAGCATACCATGTGTTAAGAAAGATAGCTCTGTTTGGTCAAGTACCATGTTTCCTTTCTAAACAGCGTTAGACCCCACTGTTGAACCTGCTCCGTTGTGGTTGCTGTGTGCAGATGCACAGCAATGCCTGGCAGCTTGGGGCTGCGGGCTGCCTGGAGAGGACAGGCAGCTTTGGTGTGGTATATTCCGAGGCCACAAAGCAAGGCAACTCTACATCGGTGCTTTCTCCAAACAGTGGCCTTTCTGTGGCTGAGGGTCCTCTGCCTTGTGCAAGCTGGCCTTCCATGGTGTTCATAGTAGCCCCGTGTTAAACATAGAACAAGCCGGATTTTGCTCACAAAGGTAGAGTCAAAAATTTTTTTTTAGCATGGCAAGATTTATGATTCTATGATTAGCATGAACCGTCTTCTTTCTGGTTCTCGTTTTAGGGTGTTTTTACTTTACCTCTTCCACTTTTCCCTCTGTTCGTGCATGTGGGAGCAGAAAGTGCAGAGCACTGGTTTCCTGGTGGGATAAAATGCTGAGGAATTGCTGCCCTCGTTTGGTTATTGTCTCCTAAAGCAGTGGTTCGCCCACTTCCCCACATGCCCGTTCCACCCATGGGATGCAACCATTCCCGCTGACAGCCAGGGCTTCCGCTGGCCCCTCTCCTCAAACAGAGAGCCCCGCTGTTACCACCTCTACCCCTCTACAAGCAACCTTCTAAATAATGCACCACGTGCTTCCGCGGGCACTTAGGGTGATACACCGCGCACAGCATCCTAGCCACAGAGCAGTGTTTCTCTCACGAGTAGTGGGCGTTTAGTGGTGTCTCTCGATAAGCAGGGGAGGAAATGAAAACTGAACGTGGAGCAGATCACTTTTATCTGAGCAGACATCTCATTGCTGCAATTTAGTGTCAGTTGCTTCTGTAGTATTAGAGTTTAATGACAGTGCTTTTAATTAAAAGTCTAATTGTCACGGCCTTTTGAAAGGTATTTTAGAGGCTCAGAGAATTCGCCCCCAATCCATGGAGGTGACTTTTTTTTAACTGAGTAACAGAAGTGGTCTTGTGTGCCATCTATTGGAATACAAGAAAATCATCAGCTCAGCCCACATTTTCTAGAGACATTGCTTTCCCCTTTGCTCCGCGGGTTTACTTCCACGATTAATGAGTTTGTGGGCCTAAAGCAACAGCGAGTGCTGGTGCTGAGAGGAAACAGCCCTGACTGGTTACTTCAATTCCCTGTAAAATGTCAACTTCTAACTTCCATCGAGCTGAACCACGTGTCGAGCCTTGTGCGAATGCATTACAACGATTATTCCATTTAATCCTCACAACATTGAGCAAAATTCGTATTATTATTATGTCCAATTCATAGATGGCACAATGGAAGCTTAGCTTGGGTCGTTTGCATAAGGTTCCACATAGTAAATTGGAATCAGCACTCAAACTGAAGCCCATCTATATCCAAAACCCATGCTAAATCACTGTTGTTCTGGGTGTAGTTAATCTGAGTCCCAGGTACACCAGAGAAGAAAAAGTAGCTTGAAAATTAGGCTTTTAAACATTTTCTTGGCCAACAGAATCAGCTGTAAGTAAGAACTCAAAATACCTTCTCCAAGAGGGACTCATTCCTCTTTTTCTCCCTTCTTTGTCACCATTCTTTATGACAAGAGTACTTAGTCTTTGGGATGTTAGAACTGGAAGAGCCTCAGACCAACCCCTCACTGTACAAATGAAGGAATGGAGGTCCACAGGTAGGTTCAACCTGCCCAGGACACGCAGGGATGGGCAGAACACAGGTGGAGCCAACATTGCAAGGGACTCTTCCATTCTGCCATCCACCTGGCCATGCATGGCCTGGGCCCATCCTTCCCTATGTTTTACTCCTAGCTCTGACCTTGAGGGAGTGACCGTGGCTCCCTTCCTTTGAGTCCTGGGCTACTGTGCTTCTCAGTTCCTCCCTTGCATCAAATTCACTAACCAGCATCAGTCCTTGGCTTTTTCTGTGGCAGGGGGCTCCAGTAACCCATTCTAAGATGCTCACTCTGCAACCTTGGTCAAGTCACTTAACGTCTCCATGCCTCAGTTTCCTCATCTGTAATATGGTCATAATGTTTATTTCAGAAAGTTAGTAGGATTAAAAAGAGTAAATATTCATAAAGGGCTAATACACAAGCACTACTTAAGTATTTGTTAAGTAAAAAGTAAATAAGTTGGCTGTGATCTCCATTTCACAGTCAGGGAAATAGCGGTCCCACGATTCGCCCAAATGCATGACTTGCCAGAAGCAGAGCCATGGCTTACTCAGAGCTGTTTCCGGGACAGCTTGCTGTCTCACATGGTCCTCTCTGTGCTCACTCAGGTCCACATTCAAATGAGTGGGCTTCAGCAGGTCTTTAACGCCATTGGAAATGCTGGCCCCTCATTTCCTCCAGCCTGTTCTAAAGTAGTTGTGATGTCAATAAAAATATATCATTTTTAAAGTGAGGATGTCAAACTCAGTAAGCAAACTGAGTCTAAAAATGCTGACCAAAACACTAATATTTATTTCCCTTTTGTCCTCAATTAAATGAGCCAGTTAGTCCCCATTTTCTCCCCCTCTGCCCCTCTCTCACATATGTTGATTCTGTAGTAAAGTTCACAGCTGTGCGAAATTGCATTATCATGTGTACTTACCCACCCTCCATGCTTATTTGGGGTGGGGAATATAAGGGTCACCTCCTTTATATTTGAAGTGGCTATGACTGCTAATGGTCAGTACCTGTGTGCTTTGAGAATGGCTGGAAATTTCTAGAGGTTTTGCACTGGTTGGATCAAGGAGCTCCAGCAGACACAGCAGGTGAGGGGCTCTGCTGTTAACAGCCCATCTCGGATGCCCGTTGTTCCAGGTTAATGGGGTTGACCTGAGGAGCGCCAGCCACGAAGAAGCCATCACAGCCCTGAGGCAGACCCCCCAGAAGGTGCGGCTGGTGGTGTACAGAGATGAGACGCACTACAGGGACGAGGAGAACTTGGAGTTCTTCCCCGTAGATTTGCAGAAGAAGGCCGGCAGAGGACTGGGCTTGAGCATCGTTGGGAAACGGTAAAAGAAATATAAAAAATGCTGTGCAAGTCAAGATCGTTTGGCCTTTCCCCTTCAGAATTCTAGGGACTAACGCCTATAAACACTGAAAGATAAAGCCTAGTATAAACTAATAATATGATTTCTAAAATTAACATACTTATGAACATTTGAACAACATAGGTCGTATTTTTGAGCAAGGTCTTACCCCCAAAAATGTCATATCAAGAGAAAACTCTAAATCCAGTCAACCCCGACTATTTAGACTTATGCCCATATAGAGTAAGAACAGTCAGCAAGGTTCTTTCAGTTTGGAGTCACTTAGATCTCAGGTTTGCAGGAGTTAATTAAAGCAACGATACCCAAGAAACAGCTAATCCCAAGAGAGAGATTTATGCAATCTTAGGTTAAGAAAATTGCTGAGTAGAAATACTTGAAAGACACATAAATCTTCATGACAATAGTTCTCTGTTAAGAAAGATGTCCCCCAAATAATAGCTTGCACCAAAAATGTAGGTAATTCTGGTGGTTAGACTGTTCTTTTGAAGTCTATGCTGCTTACCCATATGATGGGAATTACAGTAATTGTTCTAGATAATATTAGTAGGTTTCTCTTGCAATGAATTAGAGAGGTAATGTCTTGACACTGCAATTCTGACCCCCATGATTTACTGGCTGTAGATATCTAGGGTGTATTTATTCTAATAGGGTTGTAGAAATTTCAGGTAACACTCCAGTATGGCCTTAAATGGTGTCAGTCATCTTCTTAGGAAGAATACAAATTGATATATATATATATATATATAAAAAATTCATGTGTCCTCATAAACCTCTGATGACTAACCTAGTGCTTTTTTCCAATAGTCCAGCTGTTATAAAAATATTAACTACTATTTTTGAGAACTGGTTTTGTGCCAGATACTGTGATGTCATCTCATTTTTTGCTTCAGAACTATAAGGCTATCACTCTGAAAATGCACTGCAAGAATGAAAAAGCTGAGACTCGTATTTCTAAACCAAATCAGTGCACATGTGGGTGCAAAGCAACTGACAGAGCCATGTTGAAGTTTGCTTTCTTATTGTGACACATACATGGACCTGGGAGATCCCATCTAGAGCAATCGTTTTACTTTATTGTCTCATAGTAGATTGATGACATAATTGTCACACAATACCAGTATTTCAGATTGAGTTTTTAAAGGAATATTTACATTCCTTAGCACAGAAAGTTCCATTGTAAAGGATCAGATGTGTAAGCTCTCAAAATTCACATTTCTTTGACAAGAAATCCCATGACTAGGAATTTATCCTAAATATATGCTTCTTATAGATATGTTATTCATTGCACTTTATTTGCATTAGCTAAAGAATGGAAATAACCTATGTGTACATCCATTGTTTACTAATAATGAAATTAAGGAACATCCATAGAATAGTATGCAGCCATCAAAACCAATAAGGAAGCTACAAGTGCCAAAGAACAATTGCCAAGGTGATTCAGTGAAAAAAGCAAAGTTAAAGAAAACAAAACTGGAAGGGGAAAAAGAATGTATGTGCATATATATCCATTCACATACATGTGCACTATACACACATGCATTTGCTTGTGTAAACACAGGATGTCTCTTGGAGATACCCAAGAAATGGGTAACAGTTACCTATAAGAGGGGAACTTGGAGACTAGGGAACAGAGGTGAGAGGAAAACTTTTCAAGGTCCACCCTTTTTAACCTCTTGAATTTTGAGACATCTACTTATTTATTCATCAAATAAATATAATTAAAACCTTGAAGTAATAACATCCAGAAAGGGGAGTGTGAAAAAGAGACTAGAAATAGGTAAGATGCTAATAATTGAACTGACCTCGAAGGAAATAACCTATACATTTTAAGAATACTTAACTCCACTTTTTAAAGTGAATTTCCATTTCATTTCACTAAAATTATCCTCTTGCAGAAATTATGCCCTTAGGCCTATAAAAGTGAATATTACAATAGGCAGCATAAATAGGCATAAGCTATTTAAAGGGTGAGAACTCTGAGGTTTGTCATTTGGGCAGTTAGTGGATATTATTGGATGAGATGGCTTTGTAGGGCCCTTCTTTCGAGTTTTAGCACTAAGTGAATCCAAATAGAATGTCAGTAGTCTCAGATTTACTAAAGGAATATTAAGTTGTGCCAATATCCACTGCTTTATGGTATTCACAGAAACGGAAATGGAGTGTTTATTTCTGACATCGTGAAAGGTGGAGCTGCAGACCTTGACGGGAGATTGATTCAGGGAGATCAGATCTTATCTGTGAACGGGGAGGATGTGAGAAATGCCTCACAGGAGACAGTGGCCACCATCCTCAAGGTGAGTCCCTGGGCTGCTCTCTGCTTAGCTGCACCACTGAAGTCCAGTGGGAGCCCTTCTGACCTAGCGTGGTTATAAAATGGGCCGGATGATATGCTGACTACTTTTTATAGACATCTGGTCCCTAATTATTTTATTTAATTATTTTTAAATATATCGTTATTGATTTTAGAGAGAGAAAGGGAGAGGGAGAGAGAAATAGAAACATCAGTGATGAGAGTCATTGATCGGCTGCAGCCCGCAACCCGGGCATGTGCCCTGACCGGGATCGAGCCTTGATCTCCTGGATCCCAGGTCGACGCTCAGCCGCTGAGCCAAGCCCGGCCAGGCCATCCTTAATTATTTTAACCAGCCAGGAATAGCTTTAAAAGAAAGCTGTTATAAAAAAGCAAGCAAGCAAGCCGTTGTATTGACTAGCAGGGTTGGAGAGAGCCCTACGTTGGGACTTTTAAGCTATATTTTCATAGCTCTGAGAATTCCAGGCGCCCACAATTGTGCTCTCAATGCGTTTGATGATGCGGGCTCTCTGGAGTCGCGGAGTTCGCCCTTCTCCCTTGAGGCTTCCGTGAGGGAGCATGTTACCGTGAATTCATCAAATCCGGCTTTCCTCACTTGAAGGAGTGTTAAAGATTATCTAGACCAATTCCTCCATTTCACCAGTGAAATTGGAAAAATAGAACAGCATGCCCAGGATCGCCACGCTCAGCTGGCGTGGTTTTCCTACCACCCACGCCGTCTCTCCCTGAAGTTGTAAAGATGCTAAGGCTCAAAATTCACTTCCACGTGTCTCTGCCACATGGACCCTGCTTCCTTCAGAAGAAACTGGTTAATAAAAATTCTTATAAATTCCCATTCAACTATAACCAGGTGTATTTTATTCTGTTTTACAAATAGCTGTGGAAGCTTTTGCAAAGACAAATGACTTTTGTTTATTTTAAAATCCTGCTTTGGATTTAATACAGTCAACTGTCAGTTATTACTCAAGAGGATTTGTATTTGTAGGTAGATGACTTCTACCTTTGTTTTCTGTCTTCCTTTTCACCACTTTTTCTTAGTTATTTCACTGCTTACAAATACTTTCATTAAACAACAAAAGAGGTTTATTGAAATGAATCTTTTTAACACATTTAAAGAAGTCATGAAGTCATGAGGTAAATACCATCGAGTTGATAAATTTTTGTTATTTTGTGTGATTTCTTTTTTGTTACTGAATTTCCTTTTTTCCTATTGCCTTCATCGCCCATTTACAATTCTTGGCTGCAGAGATGTGTGGGGCCTCTGCTGTGATGATTTAGAACATAAACGCTGCTGGTTTTCACCTCTGTTCTGTTCTTGTGTTCCCAAGTGTGCACAGGGGCTTGTGCAGCTAGAGATTGGAAGACTCCGAGCTGGTTCCTGGGCCTCCTCGAGGAAGACATCACAGAACAGTCAGGTTGTTGATGGCTTCCCGTCAGACTGACTCACTCCCCTGTCCCATTTGAGACGAAGTTCCCCGTTTCATAAGTGGGGAAATACTGTGTGATACACAGCATTGCAGTAATGTGTAATATACAGCATATTCACAGTACCAAGTTCAGTGTCTTTTAATGTGTTTGAAATAAAAATGAAAGGTGGGATGAAAATTCATTAATCCCTAGATTTTTCTCTCCATTATTGCCTGCAAATGTTTTCTTAGGACCCCTTTTCTCCCCACTATTAGTTCTATATTGCCTATGCGTGCATGTACACAGCTGTGTTTATTTAAAAAGAAAAAAAAGCAGCAACATCTGGTGGCAATTTGACCCTCATTAGCACAACATTGTTCTATTCATTCAATTAAATATTGCTATAAAGTTAGCTTGTGACTAGCCACTCACACATGCTGAGGGCAATTAATGGTGTATTCCTAGGAGAGCGAAATGTGAGGGTTTCTCCTGTGGGAAAGGAGGCCTTAATGGGTGACATTTTGTGGGTTAGCAAACATCTTATGTTTATTTGCAAGGCTGATGTAAGTGCCACTTTTTTAAAAACAAAGTCTATTTCACTATTTTCTTCATTGTAATGGCTGAAAAAAATCAAGATGGTAAACTATATTTTTAGTCCCATTTGGTATATAATAAAACTATAAAAACATACATGTTACCCTCAAGTCGCCTTTGTGGGTTATAGATGGGCCTTTGTTTTGAGGTTAAAAGCATGACTTTTGGTCCCCTCCCTGGTCAACTTTCTTCAAGAGACTCTTGGACGTTGTGGTTAGCACACAGGTGCTTCTGGAATGCTATTAGCTGTCTCCTCTGCCTACTGGTGTTAGAAAATGGGTGAAGAAAAATGCTGTTGTTCAGATAATATCACACACTACCTGGCTTGTCTAACAGAATCCTCAAAACAGTCAAACCCAATAGCATCATGTTAAGTTTAGAACTTCTTCTTTTTTCTTCATTTCTGGCTTTGGTAATGGGCAGCAAATAGCATGTGTACTATAAGACGCAGTGCTGCAGTGGGATTCCAGGAGTGAATGCTTGGTGGTGATTCTGGCCAGGCTTGTACCACCAGTGAGGACTGAAGATGCAAAAGTAGTTGTGTCAGCTCTTCCATAATGGACGATTCCTTTGTTGAGTGATTTCATTAAAGCCTCATTGTACACAGGAGGTTAGAATGCAGAATGAATGATACTGCAGATGAAATGTATCTTTCTGGAGCATACATGAGAGCTACACAGAAGAGATTCCATTGGGTCTCACTCCAAAAGGAGTTTCTTAGGTTGAAAAGAGGGAGAAGGCATCCCAGACAGAGGGAGTAGCATATGCAAAGGTACAAAGGAGTACAAGGAATTCTGGTGTTTTAAGAAAAGTTTGGACTGACAGGTGAAGTGGTGGGTAGAACTGGGTGTCTGTCCTTGAGGAATGTATATGAGTGTCAGTGATTGATAAAGTTCACTCTCAGGTTAAATATAGAGCAAATAAATTTAGAGCTCTATCATTACATGTCAACAAAACCATCATTACCATTTATCTGGTATGTAAATGCAAGCTGTCATAGTTTGGAAACCTCGGACAAAGTATCAGATACTTCTATCTTGCACAGAGTTTTACTTCAAAGGGTAGAAATTTAATTTAATCTTAAGAAAAACAGTAAATATATTTTATCCTTACTTTGTCCTTAAAATTATGGCTGAGATGACGTGACAGTTTGCACTGCTATGTGGCTCATTGGAAGAAGGCTTGTAGCTGAAGCCTCCTCCATCATGAGTTCAAGACCAGCCCATGACCCAGATGGAGAAAAAGAAGATCCTGTTTCCAAACGTTTTCATCTGTAGACCCAGGACCCACTAAAGGCACAGATTTCTTTCTGGGCAATTATATGCTACTCTGCAGAAGAAAATGTGTAATGAAAAAGAGAATTCTTTTCCTCAGATAACTGAGGGAACACTGCCAGGCAAAGTCCATATTTATAAAGGCCTTGGCAAACACATTGTTCTGAGATTTTTTAGACAAAAGTTATATGTTGTACTTACACAACTCTGAGTAGTTATCTATTGTAACACCATTGATTTAAATCAGATCCTTCCAGGAAAATATAAAAAATATTCCTTTATATATTGTGAAGTATACTAATGCCTGTAATTTACTTTGAAATGAACTTTTTAAAAAAAGACAAATTGAGCGATGAATAGATGAATGGATATGTGAAAAGAACGGTATAGCAACATTAATTGTGGAATATAGGTGTGTGTACAGATGTTTACTTTGAACTTTTATTTATATTTGAATTTTTTTATATTTAAAGAATGTTAAAATATTAAACAACTTGCATAACAGAATAAGGCAGTAGTAGTTTAAATTATAATTCATTGGGTGATAATTGTGATCTTAGATTTAGTTTAAAATTTTGAGGCAATTGAGCATAACCTTGATAATTTGGAAGAAAAAATTCTTTACTTGATATTGGTGACATTGTGTTCTATATTGAAAAGGTCCTTCACTGTGTATATGATTTTCATTGAATAGTCCCTGGCCGTGCATGACTATACATTGTAGACCTCAGTATTTAGATGGATAAAAGGGCAGTGATGGAGGTATAGCAGATTGCGCTGAATTATTCCTGACTCTAGGAAAATCTTTGAGAGAAACAAATTTAACGTATTACTAAAACAACATATTCCCAGGCCATTTGCTGCTTTCTCCTACAATTGAGAGTGCCTTTTGGTCAAATTCCTGTTAATCAAGGTTTTATTATGCTTGTTTTAGCAAAATAGATTGTGTAGTTTGGGTAATAAGGGAATCAATGTTGACTCTAGCCCCAAATAACACATAGTGCCATTAACTGATCATATATAAATACTGCGTAACAGCTTAGGGAAATGTTTTTTATTTCATGTTGAATAAAAGCCTAAATTATACTTTCTTCCTCGATGATTGAAACCATATATGAAAGCACATGTAGTGGAGAAAATGTTAGATGGGATTGTGTTAGGGTGGTCAGAGAGTGAGTATGGGTAATTCTTGTTTTCTTTTTTAGCCTTTTAAGAATTTTCGATTACGTGGTTATGGTTACTTCAGTAACTGAAACACTAATAAGTTCGCATTTTTAAGACCAAGTCTATGTTGCAGCAGAGCTGACCTCTGGGTTTCCTTTCCAGGGGAGTCAGCACAGCACTTTGGGCAGCTTTCATCCTTCCCTTGCTCCTGTCATCACCAGCCTGCAAAACCTGGTCGGCACAAAGAGAGCTTCGGATCCTTTGCCCAGAAATTCAGGTATTGCGTGGGCACACCTCCAGCAAAGACATCTTGTTACGCAATTTTTAAAAGTATTTTTATATACAAAAGGATTTATTTAAAAAACAGTGAGAAACTACTACATCATGACAGTGGGCTTTTAACACAAGATTTGCTCCACAATACTGGGAAAAATATTAGTATTTTTTAAAAATAGTCTTTTCACCTTTAACTAAAATATTGTTAAAGCTTTGTCCTAGGCCATATAAGCCCCAAGCTTTCAGAAAGGCCTGTTCTAAAGGAAGTAAATCCATAGAGATTCATTTCTGGACTGTGCCTTTAACTTTACACCAATCACATGAAAGCTAGGAAAGCAGAAACCTAGTGTTTCCTAAAGTAAAATCATTTATAAAGAGAAAATCTTTAAAAATTACTGGTCACTCAAAGAAGGTTGGCGTGCATACCCCAATGGGACGGGACAAGGCAAGGGTCTTTTTAAGTCTTTCCTTGGTTAGATGGTTATCTTTGATTAAATCAGAAAAGTGTACAGTAAAACACAGATGGCTCCCCTTCCAAGGCATTTAATCACCATATTTCAGGCAGCTACTGCTGCAGTCCATCAGCTTTTGCCAGAACAAATGATTATGGTCACATCTTTCTCAGACAGGGAGGACTTCTTTAAAATAGAAGACAGCCCCCGATCAATGGCTGCCAGTTTGGATTTGAGGAAAGGTATAATGCCTGCTTGCTCCAGTATCCTCTCTTGAAAGGCCTAGAAAATGATACCGTTTTCAGGAGATAATATCATATCCTACATATATTATCTCTTAATGTTAAAAGTTTGTTGTGTTGCTTCTTTATTGATAGGCACAGATACGGGACCAAGGACTGTTGAGATAATCAGGGTAAGTCAGTTATTTTGCTATTTTTCTGGTTTGTGTTGGATTTGCATAAAATGTACGTTTTCCCCTTAATACAATTGGTTGGATTATTAGTGTGCGCCTTTAAGTTACTGAGTAAATATGTGGTCTGTGTAACATAAACAGACTTAGAAAGATATGGTAAAGCACATTGATGACTACCGTGAATTATTTGGTATAGCCCATCTACTACATTTTGTGCGTGTACTTAAAATTTTGCAAAACAAAAAATGGTATCATGTTAGACATACAAGAGCATCCTCCCGACATGCCAAGGTTGTAGGTTCAATCTCCAGTCAGGTCACATACAAGAATCAACCGGTAAATGCATAAATAGGTGAAAAAACAAGTCCATGTTTCTCTCTCTCTCTGTCCCTCCCTCCCTCCCAAATCAATCATTTTTTTATTTGGTCACATTTTCCTCTTCTTTCGCATGTCATGTAATTTAGGATTTTATCCTGGCCCCCATGGATGTTACACTGTGTGGACAGGATGCAGTCAGCCCCGTTAGGCTGAGACTGCAAGTTCCATCGCCCCTCTGTGAGTGGCGGTTCAGTTCTCTGGTTTGCGTCTGTGTCACATACGTGTAGCTTAGAATCGAGCCTGCGAACTCTGTGGTTCGCTCAGAGTTGGAGGACCCCTTCTCTGGCTCCCCTTACTCCAGTTTTCTTCCTTGGTTCGCCTGCCACCATGGGCTCCTGTTCCTGGTTCCCCTGACCAGAAAGACGGGAGTTTCTCCAAAGGTTAGCCGTGTGCACCACTTCCACTGCTCCTTGCCTGTGTCTCACCCTCAGGACAGCGCTGCCAGGAAAACAACAGACATTCTTCTCTGCTGTCATTTCTCCAAGTTTTGTCTTTCCACCACATTTAACGTTTCTTTACCTTTCAGAAGCCTCAGGTGGTTATTTTTTGTTATTGTAACACGTTTTTCATTTTAATCAGCAGGAGAGAGATGCTGTAGTGTTCGTATGCCACCATGCTGAATCTGGAACTTGTCACTTGTCCCTTTAGTGATTTTTAAAATACTAACTCTATGATAGAAATATGGGGGAAACCTGGACTAAAGCCAGGACCTCTTCCCAGGGTCCAAGTGAACGATGTTGCATGACCTAATAATCTTAGGCCACATTTCCCGTCACATTTAACTTCTCTCTCCAAACTCCGTTGTCATTATAGTGAGTGTCCTCTAACATCCTTTGTTTTAACGCCGTCATGAGTTCTTTTAGAGCCAAGTATGTTTGTTCACACCCCCAAGAGCATGATATGTGTGGCAGTTTAATTATAAACACCATATGAGAACATACTTGCCAAGTCTGCATCAAAATTGGCCACTAAACTGAGCAGTAGCATAGGGTTTTGTTTTTTCACTCCTACTATTGCCTTTTTTAATTAAATTTTTTTATTTATTGATTTTAGAGAGGAAGGGAGCGAGATAGAGAAACATCAATTTGTTCTTCCACTAATTTATGCATTTGTTAGTCGATTCTTGTATGTGCCCTGGCCGGGGATCGAACCTGAACCTTGGCATATCTGGACAATACTCTAGCCAACTGAACTACCTGGCCAGGGCCCTACCTTTTATTGAGCCTTTTATTGAGCCTCTTCTATAGGCCAGAACTGCACTATATCATCTCATTTAATCCTCAAAGCAACACTGTGCAGTAGGTAGTATTCTTCCCATTTTATGCCTAGAGATGGAAGCTCTAGTCGCTTAAGGAACTTCCTGACAACTCCCCAGCTAATTTAGTGCTAGAGCTGAAACAGGGGTCTGACTCCAATGGCCCTGCACTTAACTCCTGTGTTACCCCGACCTCCTTCCTACATCACGGAGTGTTACGTTCAGCAGCTATCGGGACAATCAGGCCATGGATCTTCATTAAATGTGTTTTATGTTTTGCTTCTTTTTTAGGAGCTCAGTGATGCCCTTGGAATCAGTATTGCTGGAGGAAAAGGAAGTCCCTTAGGAGATATCCCAATATTTATTGCCATGATTCAGGCCAGTGGTGTGGCTGCGCGCACACAGAAGCTTAAGGTAAACAAAAGGGCACCGGTGAAGTGCTCACAGCATGTGGTGGACGGGAGAGGAAGTTGCAGCCACAGGCACTTTGTTTAAAGTTGGAATTCCAACAGCCTTAGAGACCCATGCTGAGGGCAGAATGCACTGGAAAAAGTTTATACCTGAAATTCATTGGGTCCCGGAGAATATAAAAATATTATTGTTTGTATCAAAGCTTCTCAATGAAAGGAGAAATTGCAGCTCATTTACAAAGCCTCCCATACTGGGTTTTTTTTAAGCACCTAATTCCATCCAAAGTTGATTTTTACCTGAGAGTGATTTGACTTTAGGCTCTTCCTTCAACCAAAAGAATCAGCATTCTTATCACTTTTTCCCATTGCCTCTTAGTTTTAAGTTAGGTAGAAAAATAAAGCAGAAAATATATGGCTTCCTCATTAGAGCTTTATTGAACAGTTAATTTGTACACCCCCCTATTACTGGCGAATGGATGTATGAAATACCACCATTACCAAAATCCAAAAGCAGCCTGCCGTGCCTTACAATAATCAAATCTGACCCCCTTCTTGTTTCTCTGATTGGTCTGTATTTGGGGAAAGCCATAAAAATTCCTCGTGCTTCTGGAACATGCACACACAGGAGACACAGAATCTTCACAATAGCCGCAAATGGGAAATATGACTTCCAAAGAATTTTAAGCATTCTTCTCAAATTTAATTTTCCTTAATGATAGTGATTTTCTACCACTTTTGTACTTCCAGGTTGGAGATCGGATTGTCAGCATTAATGGGCAACCTCTGGATGGGCTGTCTCACGCGGACGTGGTTAATCTGCTGAAGAACGCCTACGGGCGCATTATCCTGCAGGTACTGCCGTCAGTGGGCCGCACAGCTGCACAAGGCAGATAAGTGGCTTGCAAAAAAGATTGAGCGTCACTGGCAGTAGGCATCACCGCCCAGCGGGGTGCTCGCTGATGTGAATTATGAAGGTTGAAAGCAAGAAATTATTATTTTTATTCAGAAATTCTTTAATGCCACCCATACAGGCAGTGAGCATGATTATATGAAAGCATAACAAGGGGAGAGAAATTACTCTTTGCTTCACGTGATAAATCAACAAGGCTTTTAGCTTCCAGTGTTCTTTTGTAAATCAGAGTTTGCAAGGAATAGGAAATGATTTCTTTTCTTCTGCCCAAAAACTGTTACTGAACTGCCCAAGTGCTGTTTCTTCCACTCACATCAAAAGAAGGGAGAAATACAATGCTCTTTTTCCTGTACCTTAAGTGATTGCCAACACTGTTAAATTCTCACTGCAGAGTAGTCATCAACTAAGGCAGACAATTATTTATCAGCTGTGGTCCTCAAGGGTATTGTCCAGAGGTGCAGGGAAATATACCAGGAAATAAAAATGAGGTGTGCTGTTAATTACCTCCTCTTATATTCCCAGCACTTCACATGTGTCTGAGATGGATATCATGCGGTGAGCGAGAGGCAGCACACTGGCAGTGAGTTTCATGAAAGAATTTCCCCAAAATGTATGATTATAATCAGGATAATTCTGCAGAAGTAGTATTAAATGGTTTATAGGTTAAAAAGAATAAAACCCACCATTTTGTACCTTCGAGAGAAGGCTAGCCCAGCCCCTCTGATCATTCTAGCCCTAAAATAAGAAGTTCAAATTGAAAAACCATTGCTTTCAGGGAGAACCAATTTGTGACGCTTAACTCTCATGTCTCAATGGTCTAAGTCCAAAGTGCCAAAGCAGACACTGAAAAAAGTATGTGGCTTTCAGCATGTATGAAGGGAATCATAAAAATACCATCAGTAGTTTTGAGGGAGTTGATGTGATCAACACCCTGTTTACTCAATGAGTTGGGCTCCCGAGTTCCTGTTGAGCACAAACAGAAACACTATGTGGACTGGCCGTAGAGTCGGCTTCTCCCCCCCTTCTTGTCCACAGTTTCAGTAGAGACTACCCTGGTTACCTCACCTTCCTCCCTCTGCCCTGGTCAGCGCCTCCAAATCCTTCCCTTTCGTTTGCTGTACTTGCTCTCCCTTCGAGTTAGGCTGACCCCTAGAGGCCCTGCAGGTGCAGCTCTCCACCCTCGGAGCCGTGGACCGTTAGCTGTACTGAATGTGAAGGGGAAGTTATTCCAGATGATAAGTATGTCAAGACAAAAAAGTGTTTCCCTTCACAAAATCTGGCAGCTCTGCTATTTTCGTACACTGATATCATTTGCTCAGCTGCCCCTTCACAAAGAAATGAGAAGACACAATGTAAAAGCGCAACATTACCTATAAAAAGTACCTCACGTGAAAATGAACTCATGCTCTCCCGTGCGGAACTAACACTTCATTCAGCCAAATTGCCGCTGTGAACATACTTTCGAAGGGGTTCCTTCTTTTTCCTAGTTTTGTATTTTAAGAGGAAAATGACGTTTGCTTTCAAAATGTTCTCTTGCATTAATCACATTAGTTGGTGTTGCTTTTTTAACATGTGTGATGAAAAGCTTAAGAGAATCCTTTGGGATTCTGTATGATTTTGACAGTCATAACGTACACAGCTATGGGTATGGAGCATATGTGCTGCTGAAGGCTTTAGACACAAAGCCCGGGAAACTCTCAGGCCCCGCATCAGACACCTTTCAGTTGCATAGTGTACTTGCTTTAATTAAAACAATGTACAAGGAGTAGGACAAGCAAGCCAGTGATCACAGCCAGTTTGTCACTAGGTTATTTATACCATCAGATGACAGAATAGTAGGGAAGGTCAGATAATTGTGTCTGACGATGTGAAAAAGACTGTTGTCAGTGTATGTGTGGTGCAGTCGGCAGCTACTAATTGCACAGGGAAGATTAAGGTCTGGGTCAACAGGCTGCAGTGGGGAGAAGGGGAGAGGGTGGAAGAGGTAGGGGGGATCCATGGGGAAGAAGGGGAACATCTGTCATACTTTCAACAATAAAGGTAAATTTTTAAAAAAGAGCGGAAGAGACAGCCACTTCTGGAAGCTTCTCCCGCAGTTTAGGTTGCTATCTCTAGGTGTAATAAGGAGGTAGAGATCCCTCACCTTCCAGTCCAGTGGTCTCTCATAACCAGTTACAGATTGGTCAGTGGAGATTGATTTCGCCGTGAGGGGTCATTTGAAATGTTTCCAGCTTTATTTGCTTCTGTAGTTTGACAGTTTGGCAGTTCAGTTCTTTTGTCTGTAGAAATACTATAAAAATCATTTTTGGATAAAATTAGGTAACTCAGGCTCTCTACTAAAAAAAAAAAAAAAAAATTTTTTTTTTTAACTTTTTTATTTAAAACACAGGATAAAAAGAACATATAAGGGATTTTTATCACTACAGGAACCTGTGAGGCTTGTTCTGGACCCCATAAGAGACTCTGCAAGCATTTTATTTATTTTATTTTATTTTTTTAAATATATCTTCATTGATTTCAGAGAGAGGAAAGGAGAGGGAGAGAGAGAGATAGAAACATCAATGAGGAGAGAGTCATTGATCAAGCCCGCAACCGGGCATGTGCCCTGACCGGGAATCGAACCCCAATCGCCTGGATCCCAGGTATATGCTTAACCACTGAGCCACGCCCGGCTGGGCTCTGCAAACATTTTAGAGCATAGGAAAATGTGTGGATTGAGGGAGCGTTAACTAACTCAGGAAATTTAGGAGGAGTGTGTCAGGAGAGAAGAGAACGTTGTAGTTTGGGACATCCAGAGGGAGAGATGTCCAGCAGGCACAGGAAATGTGCTGCTGATGGTGGGGGGACTTCAGTGCTGGAAACGGGGGGTAAATTAAGCCATCCCCCTGTCAACATCCACACTGCCTGCTGCATTAAACTTCATAGATATTGGTCCAGTGAATGGAAAGAGTGGAGACAAAGACAGGGGACAAAGGCTTGGAGCCAGCAGCAAGTAGGGAGGACAGAGCAGAGGCTGCATTCAGGGACATTAACTAACGGTCCAGCCACAAAGTTTGGAAGGCCCTTTAAGGGCATCCTTCAGATCACAAACAAACCAACCAACCCTGCTATGAGAGGGCCTAGCTGCTGACTAGAGGAGAGAGACATGTCTTAACTTATTAAGATAATGTTTAGAAAACAGTGAGTGACTTCTCTTGTGAGCCCAAGATTGACAATGAAAGAGAAGAAATAAAACACAGGATTCATTCAGGAGATCCAATATCCGACAAATAGGGGTTGCAAAAAGAAAAACAGAAAAATAACAAAGAAATGAAATAAAATTCAACTTAAGGTCTATTAATCAGTGAGCAGGAAAAATGAAACAAGACTGAGACCTCTATACATTTTAAAACTTTCCAGGAGAAAAGTATAAGCTACTTTCAAAAGAACAAGAGATTCACATGTCACCTAGCTTTTTTTCAGCAGTGTGTTTCTGAGAAGTTAGTTTAGGATGTACCCCACCAAAAGAGCAAAGTAAGAAAGAGGAAAGCCAGTGGACCCAATGCTAAAAGAACATCGAAGTCCCAAGACAGCTGTGTGGCAGGCATAGAGAACAGCTTGTCCCAGGTGTTGCAGGGGAAGAAAGGGGGTTCAGAAGGGGGCCTCTGAGTTAAAGAGTAAAAAAGAGGAACAGACAGATTACCTCATGTTTGACTGATTTGGAAGACTGAGATCCGTTGGGAAGTTTGGGGCTGAATTAGTGATAAGTATATTAAAAATTAAACAAAATGAGATGATTATTAACCTTGGGGCAAATAAACATGTATCCAAAAAAACAAAACAAAAAGGAAATATAATCATAGTTTAGTAATTGGCTCAGTATAAATAACATTTATGTAAATATTCCAAGTCATAATAATAAAAATCAATACAACCAAACATCATGATGCATGAAATATTATAAGCATGGGATTTGGGGTGTGTTGGTGGAAAGGAAAATATAAGAGAGGTAAATTTTTAACTCCTACAATAGGACATGATCAGATAATATTTAAAACCAAAAAATCAAGAAATAGAAGTAAAAGTGTGTTTTTTAGGAATATGGGAGCAAATACTAGAAGAAACAGCTAAAATGTTGAAAATAATTACTTTTAGGGAGTGAGAGTCAGTAATTAGGGAGGAGAAAAGGGAACTCCTCATTAAATCTTTTTTATTTTAATCATTTTTATTTTAAATTACACATGAATAAATTTGATTTTTTAAGTTGAAATAAAAAAGACCTTGTTGGAGCCCAGCCGGGCGTGGCTCAGCAGTTGAGCGTAGGCCTAGGATCCGGGAGGTCGCGGTTCGATTCCCGGTCAGGGCACATGCCCGGGTTACGGGCTCTATCCCCAGTAGGAAGCGTGCAGGAGGCAGCCGATCAATGACTCTCTTATCATTGATGTTTCTCTCTCGCTCTCTCTCTCTCTCTCTCTCTCTCTCTCTCTCCCGCCCTCTCCCTTCCTCTCTCTGAAATCAATAAAGATATATTTAAAAAAAAAAAAAAAGACGTTGGAAATTGTCAGAATTATAGAGATATAAGTATATTTAAAGAAACAACTATAACTTAAAAATAATATAAAAAGTGGAAGATTAGCAAGCTAAATTTTCATCTCTTGGAACAGAGAGTCAATTGGCATCATCAAAATGATAAATTTCAAAATTGGCTTATCAACATAATATTAGGTTATATACCTCTAGGATTAAAAAGAGAAAAGTTCAGTGTGTCTCTAGGGAGTGAGAGTGCTGAGTTTCTTATCATGTATGTACTATTTAATTTTTTATCATGAACACACAAAAAGAAATAACCTGGAAAAATAAAATAGAAAGGGACCAGGAGTCAAAAATACAGTTCCTAGACACTAAGGGAGAAAAGAATTTCAAGAATAGCACACTTACCAACGAGGCAGAAGTAAATAAAACT